CTACTACTACTACTGCGACTACAACTGCTGCTGCTACTACCAATAAAAAAGACGACCACGACGACGACGACTGGCAGAGTGTAGTAGTAGTCGTAGTAGTCGTTGCCATCGTCGTCCAAGCCGCTGCAGCAGGACAAGCAGCATTGCCAGCACCATCAGCATAGCATTGGTAGCAGCAGCAGCAGCAGCAGTGGCAGTAGCAGCACTATGTGTTGACTCAGTCGTGGCAAGCATGAGAAGAAGCAATGTTGATTATCATCATCAACACGTCATCTTCATCATCCTCTGAGCAGCACGAAAAGGCAGCGTGTGTGCAGCGATCCTCTTGAGTTTGGTGTCTTCCATGACAAACCTGGCACACCTCGGGACTCTGGGGCTTGTGGGACTTAGACTTTGTGGGCCGGTTACATTGACTGTAAGGGCTTGGCAGCTTCTCGGCATCCACAACGATGTGCTGCAGCTTGGTGAGCGACCTAGAAGTGACCACAAGCTACATCAGTGATCGTCGGTTTCCTGGGTTTTGGACAAATACAACACTGTAAAGTAGTTGATGCAAGTGGCTTCTCACAAAAGGACTTCTTGTTGCCAGCATGGGCTGCCCTGATATCGGCCAACTGGTCATGGAACTCCGACAGCTTGGTAGCATACCCATGAACCGTCTTCAAAGACCTCGGATAAGGTTGAACATACTAGTGTGTCACGACGACCCTAATTAAGGCAGACGACAGGTGAGCCCCAAAAACCCTGCGGCCAAAACACGATTCGGCCTTTGGCCCCTTGACCTGCTCTAGCTTTCCCGCACAAAGCTCCACCTTTGCCTGGACACGAAGGAGCTGCTGCATCACCTCGGTGGCGTTGTCGAGCGCCTGGGAGGCTGGGACAAGCCGTGGCTCCGGAGTACGAGTTTCCTAGTTGTGGCCTCGGTTTTTTTTTCCTCTTCCAAATCTTCTTTCTTTGGGCTTCCTGTGGAAGAAGCCGAACTCCTGCGGCTCCTTTTCCTCTTGTTGTCCTTTGCCTTGCTTTCCTTCTTCTCCTTTTTGGCCTTCTTGGTTTTCTTCGCTTTCTTGCTTGATGCTCGCTTTCGCTTCTTACGGGGTGTGGAAGCACTCTCATCATGTGAGGACGACGACCCACTACCCCCCTCATCATCATGGTCCTCACTCTCATCATCCGAGCCTGCAGCGGCGACCCCCTCCTCATCAAGATCAATGCCATCGGTGGCATTGATCTCCCTTTTGTCATTCCATGCTTCCATAGAACTTACTTTGTAGCTTCCTTTCGTCTCCTCCTCCACCCAATACTCGATCTTGTCCTTCTCGTACTTGTCCCGCCTGGTGTATGTGTGGGGTACCGAACATAAGGCCGTACTACTTGTGCATAGCAGAACCCTGTAAGCCTCGTGTGGGTCTTGATGCGGCTCGGGTTGGTGCAAAACTTTATGACCTTCTTGATCCTCTGCCTAGGCGGTGCACCCCCTACACAAACCCACAAACCGGCATCATACGAATGTGTCTCAAACTGCAAAACGAAGCAAAAGGCCCCGACGGACTGAACTTCAATTGCGAACGCATTTTCTCTTTGGTGTACCAACCGCACACAACCGTTAGCTCGTTGGATTTACTCTTGGTGATCTGAATCTCCACAGTGCGCTTCCAGAGGTCCTGTGGTGTTGGTAGAGCAAGCGGTCGAAAATAGGAAACCCCCGGGCCCGGCTATAACCATCTACTGCTAGTATGGTCCACTAAGTCCCTAACTGTCCTTCCGCCCCTCGCACTTCATCATTGTCCGGATAAGGTCATTCCTCAAATCCCCCCCGCCGTCCCATCTGCTGACAATGTCCGGTGAAGAAGCCACAGTCTTGGAGCGAGAGGTCGGCTTCACCATGCGACGAACCTTTGCCTCTGCTCTCCTCCAAGCTTTGCTACAGTCCTGAAGTACGACGAAGAGTGTGTGGGAGGGAGAAAGAGAGAGAGAGAGAGAGGTACATACAAACACACATGCTTACCTACCTACCTACCTACCTACCTACCTACCTACCTACCTACCTACCTACCTACCTACCTATAGTACCTACCTACTTACCTACCTACATACATACATAATACATGCATACATACATACATACATACATACATACATACAAACATACATACATACAGAGCATACAATAATATAACATAACAAAAGACGAGAAGTAAGTACGTGCAACTACCTACCTCAGTTGCATTTAAAAGACAGATACACATACATACATACATACATACATACATACATACATACATACATACATACATACATACATACATAATACCTACATACACACATATACATATGTACATATATACATGTCTACACATATACAAATACAAATACATATGCACACACAGACATCTATATATACATATACATATACATTTACATTTACATTGACTTATACATATACATATACATATACATATACATATACATATACATATATATATATATATACATATACATATACATATACATACATACACATACATACATACATACATACATACATAAATACATACATACATACATATCCTACATCCTCACGGGCTTTTCCGGATGAGGCAACGAACATTTGCACTCTCTAAGGTTTACAATGCTGG